AACACACACGCACACGCACACACACACACATATATATAAATATATATATATATATATACGGACATAAAAAGATGTGTATGCTTATTTGCACATATCTTTTATCTTTGCATATATTTATAGTGAATAGAATATATAATCTTACTCCCGATTGGGTGTGTTTATCTAATTTGCTCTCATAAATACATATGCATGCATTAAAGTATTCCTTTTTAAACTAAAAATGGTTGTGAATATTCCTCTCTCTTTGTTTCTCTAGTAGAGTGAGGGAGAGAGGATGAGTTGCCAGTTGGCAATTGCCCCAGCTGTATTAAGTATTTCGTTTCCACACGTGAATGCGAAGCCTGGTTACATACGGTATAACCCCCCCTTATACACCACATATATCCCTCCCCCCCCCAACCCCAACTCCCCTCTACCACCGCAAATATACCCCCTCGCCCTACCCCCCTATGAAGGACTTACCTCTTTTAATATTAAATACTAATCTATATTGTCGCAAATTATACTAACCGTCAAAACGCTGTTGCCTGCCACTTTATAAAAAGTTCTGTACATTTCTACTAAAGTTGACCATTTTACCTGCTGTCTATCTAAGATTCCAAGGCCCTCCAGGCCCCAGCCCAAGGCCCACGCCCAAGGCCCAAGACCAAGGCCCCCAGCCGGCCCCCAGCCGGCCCCCAAGGGCCAAGGGCTAAGCCCCAAAGCCCCCTTTAAGTTCTGTAGGAGCAGTTGTGAAGAAGTGAAGATGGTCTAAATATATAACAACTACTTCTGAGGACCAATAAAATATCCCCAGTCTCGACCTCGAACACCGTCTACAGCCATTCACAATTTCACAGAGGTAAATATTTGCGAGGAGCAAAGAAGGCTGTGTATTCTACATACCGTGTACATACTTCAAATAATATATTTAATATTCATAAATGTATGGGCATCACAATACTTGGCACTGATCCAATACTAACTGTAGTGATTGCGAACAGCTGATACTTGTGGTGATTACAAACAACCAGACAGTGTCGAATAGATCATCTTTCTATAGGCACGGATACCTGACTTTTGAAGGCTTTCAATAGTAGGGTTTTATTTGGAGACAGTTTTCTAGTTTATTTATATCTCGCACATATTTCAGCTAGGGCGGCTTGTATCCTGTCCCTATAGCGTACATACTTCTGGACTTCCTATATTCAGAGTATTGCACACATACTTACTAGACACACTACTTGAGCTTATTTAATAGTTATGAGTGCACTTTGCTGAATCAAGATGGACCCACAACAACCGAACGGCCCAGCAGACGGATGGGAAGTGACTGAGGAATCACACTCAATGTACAAAACTGCGTCACTGAATGCTGTATCCAAGCCCACACAACATACACAACACGCACAACAGCAACAGAGTATAATACAGACACAAATGGATCACAACAACACCGAAAAACCAACTCAAGTGGTGAACTCTGGAATTATTGCGACGGCGCCAGTACATTCAGCAACGGCGGGTGCTGTCGAGAACGGGACCTTAGGGTCCGTTCTGGAGAATGGCGTTCATCAGAAAGGTAAACTCACATTTATATACATATTTTTTAGAATCAAAAGCATCAACACAAAATGTTTACTGAGTTTATACAATACACAATTGGTCCCACTATCATCAGCATCCTTCTTACTCTGTACCGATGCTTCCTCAGACTTGCACCAATAGACCCAGCGCACTAAAACGAGGGTGTCTTGTGTACATAAATATATGCATGCTTAGCTTTGCATCGTCGCCGTAGGTAGAATTTCGCGTGCTATGGTATTGTTTGACGATGGTATTTGTTGAATAATAGTGGAGTATCGCATCTCAAAGCCCTTTTTTAATTTGTATTCTACATTTATTAGTAAACGTCTTCGGGATTCGAATAGAAATCGTTTCTCTTGGATCTCTAGCTCACTGTAATACTGTACCGTTGGTGCGTTATATATTGTTATTACGGCTGTTAAATCCACACTACAAAACACTCCTCCTTAAACCCTTTGTACATGACTACTTGTTCAGCGGGCTCCCAAACCTGGAATGTGGGCAACATGCAGTCTTCAATACCGGCTTATAATACAACTATGAATACCTCTTTCGGGGGTCCTGAGCTGCTTCCTCTTAGTGCACAACTACAACCGCAAATGTCGTCGCAGATACGGGTGGATGTCAGTGTTCAGCCGTCGAGCGGTAACGATATGGGCGGCATAACCATCTCGAGTCCCAGAATGTCCGTGAACGCGACCGCTATCAGTGCACCAGTCAACTCCGCACATGCCACTGCAAACTCATCAGCTGCAAATGTGACAGCACGTAGTATTGCAAACCCAGTAGTTGTGGCTGAGAAGGTGGCCACACCCACATATATGCTGACACAACAAGCACTTATTGGCGGTGCAAGGGGTGTAGTACCGAACATCTCGACTAAGAATAATCCCGCCGAGGGCATGGAGAGGCCCCAACTGGCGAATCCTTCGACTACTGCTTCTCAAATGGGTAGTGTATCGGTACCAGCAGTGCTAACAAGTACATCACCCCCCCTGCTACCGTCTATCACCGTTCCCAGGCACCAGAGTATCAGCAGCACTCCCGGCACTGTTAACGAACCTGTGGCAAATGTGGTTACAGGTTTGCCTCCTGCAAGTAACAATACACCTATCGCAGACGCAAATGTACAAGCCGTACATACTAGTCCAGGCGGAAACGGAAATGCATCTGTAATACACACACCAATTGCCGCACCCCAAACTGAGTCACAGGCCGCGAACACTGAGGTCGCGAACACTGAGGCAGCGAACGAACCAGTAGCACTTGTGACTGTGAGCACGCCGCTGTCAATAGCTGAGCCTACCGCGATACCTGTGCCTCTTATACCGGCTTCAGGGCCAGCACCACCAGTTGCTTCCGAAGCACCGACCATCCCAGCCAACACACCCACCCATACACAAACTCAAGCGCCTATCCCAGCAACCGATAGTGCAGCCAGACGAATTGTTCCGGCACCAAGTCTTCCCGTAGGTACACCTGTACCGGTGCAAGTGCCCGTGCAGGAAGCGCCGAAAGTGGCTGCAGTCTCTGTAAGCGACGCGGATGCTACTAGCACATCCCTCCCAGTATCTCAACAGGCCGTGAACACACCTGAGGCATTGGGTACGAGCACGGGTGCTATTGCAAGTACAGATGCAAGCACGGAGTTAAGGATAGAAGCAAGCACTATTGCACCACAGCCCCAACCCCAACCCCTAACTCAAGCACAATCGCAAGAGCCAAACGCACACATTCAGGGGCAACCTCAGCAACAACAACCTCAGCAACAGCAGCATCCAGTGCAGCACTCACAACAGCAGGTACCACCTCAACCGCACCAGCCCCGTTTCTACGGTCAATTACCGGGTGTGGCAGTTGGACGTGGACGTGGAGTCAAAACACCCAGCGGAAGCCTTGTGGGTAGTAATGACGGCGGCAAAGTCAACTATCCTGCGTCGGAGAAAGGAACTGTTGCGAGCGGTCTACGGGTGGGTACAGGCTCGCCTGTGACCACATCCGCACCTGTAGTGGAGAGAGATGGACGAGGACCGCCACAAGAGCTCGGGCGTGTACCATCGCACCCCGCCAGTGAATACAGACCGGTGAGCATAGCACCGTTCCCGACTGCCAATGTCAAGGTAGGTTCCCCACCTGCGCATCATAGTATAAAGAATAGCAGCGGCACGCCAGTCCACGCTACACCGTTGGGTTCGCATGCGCCACCACCAGCTATGCCTAAGCCGATGAAACGACCGTATTATAAGCCTATCAGTGCAGCACCGGGACCGGGCTCGGGGCTGAACACCCGCGGCGTGGGTGGCGAGCAACGTAATGTGCAGGCACACCAGCATCCTCACGCGACGCATACACTGACGCAACAGTTGAGCCAGGGTGAGATACACGGACCTGTAGACACCAACAATGGTAGCGGCAGTTTACCCACACAGCAACCACCACAACCCCCTCAACCAAAATTGCCGTCGCAGCAGCAGGGACCAGCTCTTCACCCCCGCACGCCAATTGCGGCAGCCTCTTCGCCTGGCAGAATACATCATCACACACAGCAACAGCAACTACATCCACAACAACAGCCACCACCGCAACATATACAACCACAACGGCAGCAAAGCAGTGGAGGGCCTTCACCACACGGACCCAGTGGATCAGGTGAAGGTGAAGGCAAGAGTCTGGATAGTTCGGGTAGGAATATATTAAAATCACAGACATCTCAGCCTTCAGCACAGCCCACGTCATACTTGGCTCGCCCCGCACCCCCCCCTGTAGGCTCGTCGCTCGCGGCGATGGCCCCGATGAACGCTGTGGTGCATGTCAGCTCGAATTCACTGAGCAATAGTACTGAGAGAGACCCACAGCAACAGCCACAACAACAGGCTGATGAACAACAACAACTACTACTACTACAAGCTCAACAACAGAGATCACATGCGAAGGGTGCACCCCAACAACCCCCCACAGGCCAATCACCAGCGCACCACGGGGGCTATCGGAGCATGGGGTCTAGACAACACTCAGGCCATCTACCATACAATAGTCAACAGCACATGGGCCGCCCAGGATCGTATCCAGAGCAGTATCCGGGACCCGCGCTAGGTGTGTAATTGTTGTTGGGATGGTCAGATGGTTTGTTTAATCTACGAGGTGCATATTTGTGTAAACCTACCTATGGTTGGGCTTATTGTTAGTTAAGGTGACGAATGCTATGGCTTATTAGGACTATGCCAGTGTCTGATGCAATCTCGCTGTGTCTTTTGTGTGTATCCGTGCTTGAAACCGGTCTGCTTACGGTTGTGTACGTCGGTCCATTGAATGGCTCGCGAAATTTACACTGATACGACCCACTTCATCACCTTCGTCTACATAGGGGTGTATGTATTATATGTGACAGCCGTGCACATCTGTGCTGTCATTCTACATTGAGACTATTGATCGCCTACTCTCTATTTCACCACTCTTAGCAGGTAAAGCTTCGCCCCATGAGAGGCTGAGCAGCGACAAGAATGCATCCGGGCCTAAGACCCCGGGTGCGGGCCCAAATGCACCCAAACTCGCACCCACTCTCAATTCCAATGCCAACTCCAAGGGCACACCTCCCGGGAATGCATATACCAATAACGATCCTGCCTCAAGACCCCCGTACTCTACCCAGCCGTTACAACGAGGTTCTAGTGGTACCAATGTGCCGCCTACTGCAACCACAAGAGGAGCGGGTTTCGCATATGACGGTGGAGAAAGTGTAGGTGCCAGCCTAAGTGGTGGGAGTTCGCTTACTAACCTCAACACAGGCAGTGCAGGCCCTGGCGAGCCTCGAAGGGACTCGGCATCGAGTAGTGGCCGAGTGCATCCAGACGCGGGCAAGTTCTTCCCCCAGCTGAGCGAGTCTGAGCTGGATAACATACCGCATCAACCCCTGACACATCCAGTCAATGGGGCGCAACAACAACAAACTCAGGGACCACCGCACGTGCCACACGCAAGGTCATCACAGACTCAGCACGCCAATGCGGCACAAGCCCAGGCACAAAAGATAGTACCCTCACAGCAACTGCAGAAGCAGCAGCTGCAGCAGCAGCATAGCATGCAGTACACCATGGGGATGGGCACAGGCCCAGGCTCTTCCCGGGCACAGGTTGGGCCCGGAAGGCGCCGGTCGGGTACAGGCACGAGTCCTGCGTATAGCAAAGCACAGGAGCAAGCCATGCAACAACAGCAGGTACACTTCCACACCAACGCACGTGGCATCCAGCGGGAGTATGTGAGTAAGGGCAAGCGTGTTATACAGGACGAAACCCATGCAGGGGCTCCGCAGATGTCCGGTACTAAGCGCTCGGGGCCAAGCGCGGGTCGCAAACACGGCGCGACTGGCGGTGAACAGCAAGGTGCGTCTAAGCGCGCGAGGAGGTGCTCATACTCGGAGAACGAGTTTGATACGGTTGATGAAGGTGAGTTGTTCGAAACGTTGTTAGTTTTTGAGATTGAAGGATGTTTGAGGAACAGTGTAGTACGCTACAAATTAACATGACTATACATTAGTAAATACGTTACGCCAGCAATGTATAGAAAACTCCTCTGTATTAATTTGTGCGTCTCCTTTGCTCCTAAACTGGTCAGCCGCCTAAATGGTGTACGTCGCTTGAAATATCTGTTCTCAAGTTTTTTGTACTATCAATTCGCAGATGCGGAACATCACATGACTGATCGGCGGCCTGTGTTCAAGCGCAAGCGTCCATCCATAATAGGACACCAACCTCGTTCATTCTTCACCCAGAGAGACCCAGAGGTCACGGGCGGTATAAATGTGCCCGGACACTATCTCAAACCCACCCTATTCCGGGCACCTGATGAGGAGAAAAAGTTAAAACGGATGTTGAAGGGGGCGAGTACCGACGGTCGATTGGAGGGCAAGCGTATGAAGATGATGATGCAGGTATGTGCGGTTTTAACTTAAACGTTGGAGTTCCTCATTTTATTTGTGTTGTCGGCATGTGGTCACTTCTTATCGATTGTGTCGGTAAAATGGGCCGTACAACTGTTGGCCGAAATTCCATGCGCTTTTAAATTGACAGTGTATAACTAGGTTTGTAAGTACGATTGTCAACCATGGGCTCATACATCGGTGCACTGTTGAGCCAGTGGGTTAGTTTGGTGGTGCTAAGTGTCTTTCTTGTCGTTCATGGTATCTGCAGAAAGAGGGCCTAGGACAAGTGCTGGAAATTGAGAACCGAGTGACAGAAACGCTCAATAAATTGCAGGAGAGTCTGGATAAAATGACGAGGTATGTATACGTGCTTCTTCTGTTGCCAACTTCTCGATTTTATAATACGTCCTTATCAAATGTTGCGCATGAAAATAGTGGCACTCATACAGTTCGCATTATACTGACCTTGGACAGTTTTGGTCGACCTCTTCCAATCTCTTGACAATGTCTTCGAATAGAAAGTACTATGCGGTACGAATTAGTGGTGCAATGCAGCCGGAGATTTGCAACGGACTTTTATGCTAGAATACTATTTTATACTGCACTTTGTGAGTTCTTAATACTCCCGCCTCTCGCCTTGTCTTGTAGTTCTATGGATTCAGACGGTAGGAATAAGAATGGTATCAATAACACACGCGTGGATGTCGCGGTGAACAGGCTGAAGAGTCTTGTTGAGGTGTGTTGTGTGTTGTGTGGACACATAAGTTCTTTTTAAGAGTGATCTTGTTTGTATCGGCCCTCCTTTTTCCACTAGTTTTCTCTGTGTCATCTTTTCTATGTCGAGCTACATCCCTTGTTGTAGATTTAGTCTGAAATATTATTTTAATATATCTCAACTGATTGCAGATTACTACTTTGGACAATCTTCTCACATGTATAAGATCTGAACAATGTCTTCATGTGAATACACACACACACACCTACCTACCTATATATATATATATATATAGTAGTAGACACACACACACACACACCTACCTATATATATATATATATATATATAGACACACACACACACACA